TTCTCCCCTACAAAGATGAGATTTCCAAACCCATCAATATATGTAAATTTGTAGTAATGACTCCTATGACATTGACAATGCTAACCAATGAGACAGTGCTACGACTTGACTGTTTCTGATAACATGGCTGACACAATATGGCAAGTGAGTGACCATTTTATTACCAAAATAAAGGAAACGAACACTGGGTGTGATCAATGAAATTGGGTCACAATATTGCAGGCTGTTGTGAAATCATCAGTTTCCATGACATCACAATCAAATGATGTCACTACTCTCAATGACACTGCACCTGGTCAGCTGAACTTTTTACACTTAAGACACTGGTTGTTACTGTTACAAACTGAACAAATTGGAAGAATGATGTCGGATGACAAATACAGTCTCACCCTTGTGTCGTATCATATGAAACATATCAACACTAGTCAAGAAAGGATTCTCTCCTCAGCAAGTCTTCGAATATTAAACTCTTATCAACTTGTGATATTATATGATCTCAATAGACATTCTCCATATATTTTTTAATTAGGCCACATTAAATTAATCATTTCAGTTTTAATCCAAATATTCAAACTGTAAGGCATTTGACAATTCAATTAATTAGGCCACATTAAATTAATCATTTCAGTTTTAATCCAAATATTCAAACTGTAAGGCATTTGACAGTTGGTGTATTTCAAGAAGGGAACACACTGATCTTTGTATGTTGGTACTATGGCACAAACAAACTATGTTAGGAAAAGTTTCGTAATAATGTGGGCAGAGATGATAATATTAATTAATTTATTATGTGTACTGTGGAAAGAATTGGTATGCCATTGTATAATTAAAACCCAGATAATCATGAACGTCATCAGTTATGTGAACATCATTTCTAGGTTTCATGACACAGGCTCTTTACTCTTGGTGTTACCATGGCAACACTTATCTCACTGTTATGCCAATGAATATAACCAAATTAACATATAGAAACAAAAACAATTCACAACAACTGAATAACTCTCACAATGTATTCTATATTCACATATCCAACGGTGGCTTAAGGTGATAACAGTACCGTGATCTCACTAAGCCTAAGGAATAAGCAATCACGTAATAACCTGATCAAGTGAGCGAGTATGGTTTTACACCGCTTTTAGCAATATTCCAGCAACATCACAGTGAGGGACACCAGAAACCGCCCCTTATAACCTGATCATGAATGTTAGACATGGAATCATAGTTTCCTAACCACTTTGAACTACACCAGCTTGTGACTACATAGGTTTTCGACATGCTCTCTGAACCATGTGAGTAGTGGTAATGAAACGCATGGAGTGTGACACATCCCTTAATATAGACAGAGTTATAGGAAGAACATCTGCTCCATCACTGCCTACAAGTGATAACAGCATTGATAGTTAGATTCTCTTATGAAAACAATAATTAACAACAAAAACAAAACAAATTAAACAAGTATTTGTCACAAAGTGAAGAAATGTCCCCCGCCTGTATATACACCATAGTACGAAATATGAAGACAATCCAGCGATTAGTTCTTGAGATATCGCGGCAACACCGTTTTCCAACTCCAAAAGCAGATTTGCTTGCTGTGACCTTGAAAAGGGGATGAAGGTCACCAAAACCGACTGGTGTCTGCGGTGTCTGTATATACACCATAGTTCCAAATATGAAGACAATCCTGCGATTAGTTCTTGAGATATCGCGGCAACAAACAGGTGGGACGTACGGACGGACGGACAGACGGACGGTCGTGAATACTATATACTAAAAAAAACAAACATACACAAATATCAAAAACCTCTAAAATAATCACAGCGTGTGCCAGTAGTAACTGATGATAGATTCTTGTTGCTGTTGAATGAAAAATATTTCATTATTTTTTTTAATTTATGGTTTCTGCATAAACGTAGGTAAGTTGAAATAAAAGTGTGTTGCTCATTTTGTTTTAACCTGTCATTGAACTGTTTGGGTCCATTAATTCAATGGGTTACAGATGAAGTCTAATTCAGTTAAATTAAGTGTATGATACTACCATATTCGACGTATTAACTGCCCAGGGTACTCTCAAAATTAGAAATAGGGGGCTCTTATTAGAATAATATTTTGGCGAGAGAAAAAACAGAGGTGAAAGATCGTAAATTTTGTGGTTTATGCTGACAGCCTGAAATTTTTGTTTACGACAGATATATTTTTCCAGAATTTAATTTCCCATAATTAAGGGTGCATATAACACATGAGTGCGTATTATACACGAATAAATAAGTCTTGTGTACATTGATACATCGGAAGGGGTGCTAATTGGGATTGTTCAGTAGCCAATATATTAGCAAATATCAATGTGGGCGCTTATTGCATCAAATACGGTATTAGTAATAAACAAATTCATGTTCATTAATCAGAGAAAGGGTATGCACATGGTCTCTGTTAAGTTATTAGCTAAAATGTTACTTAATGTAAGAATATTTGTTGTTTTTTAATTCCACTAAAATAGTGTTGCCAGGCAAATAAAATAGGTTCATATTATTTTCTATTTCATGGATTTGTGTCACTAAATGTTTGAAATTTCTCTAAATCAGAGAAGTCAGACAAATAAAAATAAACTTCTTTTTTTTTTACAAATTTTTACTTTTGTATGCATTTATATTTCATATTCCTCTAAAAAAGAGTTGTCAGGCAAACAAGTATCAATTGAAAATAAGTTCATATTATCTTCTCTCATTACGTTTTATTCTGGAGCTCTTGGTAACATTGCCCCAGTCAGTAGCCATCAACACTGTAGTAACAGATGTGACTGACGTCTTGCATTTCAGTTGCCAACAACATGTGACCATGTGTCAAGCTGGGATGGAGCCAGCAGAATGGTGTCATGTCACGCTGTACTGTAGGGACATCATGGTTAGAAAACTCGTGAACCCGTTAATCGTCCTATGGAAACTGTCATATCTAATTAACCGTTTTAATGAAATATTCACAACGTCTACAGTAGTAGGTACAACTGTCCAAAGAGAACAATTCGCCAATAATTCCTAACCAACCTCCATTAGATGTTCTGCATGAACTAATCTTTTATTATATTATTAATAGACTGTTGCAAACTGTGGATTTATAACTATTTTATAGTGAATACTTCAGATTGTCACAATATTATTATTTTGATTTCATAGCGAGTGAGTGGGTATGGTGAGTGAGTGAGTGAGTGAGTGAGTGAGTGAGTGAGTGAGTGAGTGAGTGAGTGAGTGAGTGAGTGAGTGAGTGAGTGAGTGAGCGAGCATTGTAACACTGTATCAATATTACAGATTTTTCAAGCCTGTAAATGATCAGGTCTGGACCAGTCAAACCAGTGAAAGTATGAGAAATGATTCACGCCACATGGGTAAGATAACATGCCATCAGCCAAGTCACAGACCACATGATCCCCATTTTACAAAGTGAGTGAGAAGTAGTTAATGTAGTCAGACAGTCTGCAGGACAACTGAGCCATGGCTAGATAAACTAGTGGTCGTAGTATGAGGTCAGTGCTGTTCCATGACAACCAAATCAGCCAGAGAAGCAACAGTTTGCCATCAAAATGATCCATTGTGAAGTCTTGCTAGTATCCATGGCAACATCAAATCATGTGAACACTAATCAATAATCTTTTTATTTCTTCATTATATGTTTTCATGTCATCAGAAGACAACATTATGACATTTTTCAAAATGCTCGAAGAGGTTGCAGACTGCCACTGAGAAGTGACTTCACCATGTTCATAGGGAAAATCATCAATATTTTGGCAACACAAAAACTACATAACTACTATGGAGCATCGTTGTGATGCAGATGAGACCTCAGCTAAAAACAAGTCAACTTAATTAAATGCATCAGGGTATGTTCTATACATAGGGAAAATATCAGACAAGAATCTTTCACTGACTTTCAACAGAAACTGGACTGTCTGCCTTGTCTAGTGGATAGAGATAGAGAGTGGAGGATCAGTGGTTCGATACCCTGTCTGTATCATACCAAAAGACATTAACAGATGGTACTTGCTGTTACTCTGCCTGGCACAGGCATTAAGGGATAAAACAAGGACTGGTCGGAGTGGAGCCAGTATGCCACGTCTAAGTTGGGTATCCATGTTAAGCTGTGGTATGGGATGTCAGTGGGCTAGCCTAGTAACCGGAATAAGTTCGGACTAGTACAAGCACTTGGGGGTCTTAGAGTCCATTTGATTTAAGGGAGCCCCATCTTTATCCATTCAACTTTAGGGTTATGACGAGGACTTTCATGCTTAATTTTGACACTGAATAACATTATTATTCCCTATATTATAGTTTCATGACAACCAGAGAATCTACCCAAGTGTCTCTTGTCATCAACACATGTCAATAAAAAATTTAAATTCTGTGTCAACTGACCTCACATGACCTCACAAGAGGGTGAGATTCTATTTATCATTCAAATTATTCTGCCAACTCTTTCAGTTTGTAAACAGTTATAATGAGAGTACAAAGAACTGCTAACTGAGAGAGTTGTGATGTCATTTGATTGTGACATCATGGTTACCGATGACATCACAACTAGTGATGGGTATTGGCCTGACTTTCATATTGCAATTTATTGTAATAATGATTTATGTATCGCAATACATACCACAATATATTGCATGCATTCTTTCATCTGTAATTTGTTATGAACCTGAATAAAAATAACCCAAATGACTTAAAGTTGGGCCCATACATCGGACCTATGCACAATTTTTTACAACTTCATAGTCATCTTCATTTTGTTCGGTGTTGCTATGGTCACATACTCATGATAAACAGACAGTATATAAAGGAAGATGGGCACGAATAGTTTCACTTTTTTTTATTACTGGAATCAATTTCATAGTTTCAATTCAACTTGTCACTTATGTAAACTTTGCCAACAAAGGAGATATTGCTTGATCTCAGCCAAGCCACATCTCCCGTGAAAGTCAGTTTCAGATGACAGATAGACTCTCCTGCACTGCCTACCTGCTGCAGTTGACATCGCGCTTGTGGCTTCTCCACATGAAGCCTCCACCGAAGGCCTCGGATGAGATGGTGAACCCTGTAGGGAGGTTGTCCCAGTCGTCAAAGCGGAGCCCACCTCCCAGAGAGTACGTGCCGGCAGGGCAGGGGTGACACTCCTGGTCCCCCTGGATGTCCAGAAACTGACCTGCATTGCATGTGAAGGCTGAAACAAGGAGAAGACAGAATTAGACTTCTGGCTTAATATTCCCAATAACCATCAAGAAGACTAAGTCAGCAATATACCCCATCTTTTCCAATATGTGCATAAAAAACACAAAACATATATCATATACTTCATTAAACGAAAAAAAGAGTTAATCCTACAGCTTGTGAGTACAACTGACTTTAAGATTGATGACTAAACCAAACGATTATCTCTCATTTCATTTACTGCCTTAAATACCACCCAGAGACGTGAATGAATAATGGTACTTTTCAAATGACAGCTTTTCATTTGATATTTTCAAAACTCTAAATCATTATTGCATAACAAAAAAGCCAAATAGCAGCGTTAGAAATTGGCACAATTCCTGTAGTCCTTACCAAACTGCCCAATAGTAATGGTATCCTAAGGACTAGTAGAAATTGGCCCATTTTAAGGGTTTTGCTATATGTTATCATTATAAGGACTAGTGGACAAAAGCTGTTAGTTTCTAACCCTGAATAGTCAAATGACACCTGAACAGATATATGATCAAAATGATACTGTGCTTGTTTTCAATACACACTGCACGATGCGCAACTTCCCACTCTGTCCGGGTACAATGTCATGCTATCAACCAAGTCTCCAAGCTTGACCACTTAATCCATTTATTTGCTTCTGAAAACAAGCATAGGTTGCTGGGGACCTATTTTAACTCTGAATTTCCAACCAGGTTGTATGAAGTATGATGTCTTTTGTCCTTACAAAGTTTGAATCTTTGTCAAACTTGCTATTGCCTAAAAAATTTAAAATCACCTTAATTAGTAAATAGCAAAATGCATAGGTTCAGCATTTGCCTGATGTGCATATGAAGGTCAACAAAGAAATGAGAAACAGTTCATGAGTTACACTCTGGGAACGATCCCTCATTTGAACTGAAGTCAAACTCGTTGCCTTGGGAAATGGAAATGACACAAATAAATTGAAAAAATATTGAATAGCAAAGGGCACCAGTGCAGAACATGCCTGATGTATATACAAAGTTTCATGAAGAAATATTTAATGATTTAGGAGTTATACTTCAGAAAAAAAAATTATGGACGGATGGAAATTTCCATATCCCCCTCAAAACTTAGTTTGGGCAGGGGATAACAAGTTTCCAACAGTTGCTCAGTGGCAGTATACACCATACTACAGTGTACAACAGTATACAGTAAATGTTGATATGCTCTGTCATTATATAACATCATATATATGCCACATGAAATCCAAGTCTAAGTAGTCTGTGCCAAGAAAGAGTTGAATAGCCCTGACTGGTGAATAGGTGAGCTTACAATATTAAACAATTTGTATTTACTGAACTCTAGCTTCAGCCTAGTGGCTAAAGTTGCAGACTGCTAACTTAAACTAATTTGGGCCAAAGATGAAATTGCTGATTGTCATACCATCTTTAAAATTACACATATACTAAAATCTGGATAGTGCGAATGGTACTGTTCCAGTGAAATCATCTTCATTTTCACATTCTCAGATTAACAAAGCATTGATTTCTATCAAAACTTTTGTAGATACAGACTTACAAAGTTTGTACTAAAGACGTTTGGATTAACAAAGTATCATTCTATTCAGCAATATTCAGAGAAGGGCATATTAAAGTTGTTAGAACTATGTAGTGGGCAGAAACTACAACAACATTTTAATTATTTGAAGATAAAACCAGTAGCATTCTGTTATTTCTTTTTGCTTATTCATAAAAAACTCAGCTGAAAGTATTTTGACTACCATGACTACCGTAAACTAATTTCGTTTTAAGTTTTGTATGTGTTTTGGGCTCTGAGGGTTTGATCAAGGCTATTCATATTGTACTACTCTAGTTTAAAAAAATAACTCCTCCAATCCCATTGTGTCAAGTGTTAAACAAAGACTACTGAAATAATACATGGATGGTGCCTTGGTACTTAAACCATTCAAAATTTAATGACGATGCACATGACTCACAATGACAGAAGACAAAAACTTCATGACCTGACAACAACTCTAGGAATTGGAAGGGAAAACAATGAATAAATAAACTTACTTAGTATGAAGGACACATCTACTCTTAAGCTGACAATTGTGGCTTGATGAATTTCTTAAAGACTGTGGTTACAGCAAGTGTGTTCACAATAGCAGATCAATGGCTGAATAATGCCGAAAGTTGGTCAACAAGAATACTGATGACTTTCCTTGGTAACTGACAGCAAAACAGAGCTTGAAAACTGTCCAGTGTGCCGTTGTACAAAGCTAAGGTGATCTCATACTTTAACATGGACTTACGATCAACGTAGCACTAAGGTTGTTTTGTACAACGGCACCCTGGAATGTTAGCACTTGGTGAAATATTTGGAGGACTAAGGAGTTCAGCTGTTCTCTTCCAACTCTTCAACCAGACTTAAATTGATAAAGGAAGTCATACAGGATTAGAAATACCTTCCATGTAAGTTCCAATGGCAATTTTAAAATGACAGCCTGTGCCCAAACTTGAGTCTACTAGCATGAACATGGCTCTTAACATAATTTTCAGTACATTGTAGTGTTTTATAAGCTGAGATTACTATACTCAACAGACTCTCAGAAGACTCAGGCTTCAGAATATAGGCTAAAGTCGCAGACTGAGATGATAATAAAAGGTTTAAAAACTGTTCCTGGTGCCTTAAGAGCACACTTAACAATCACATATTGTAAATGTATGTAATTATTTTGTTTGTTGTTTAACGCCGCACTCAGCAATATTCCCGCAACATGGCGGAGGACTGTTAATATTCAAATCTGGACCAGACAATCCAGTGATTGATATCATGAGCATCGATCTATACAGTTGGGATACGATGACATGCATCAACCAAGTCAGCGAGCCTGACCACCCAATCCCGTTATGACAAGAATCAATTCTAACCCGGATCTTCATTTATTAAATTCCATTATTGCCAATATAAAGTGGCACAGCTGAAAATCACTGAAAATTCAAATTGTTACACATACAGCATTAAAGATCAATAAAAGACTAAATTCCCTGTTCAGCTGGATCATTCAGCACTGTATATCATGGAGAGCTTTGGTATTACTGTGGTGAATGTGTTTCAATTACCTGTGCCTAACATATGATAGAAATTGAGTTCTCATCTATTACAATGAAAATATTATCAATTAAAAAGAAATTCATTATTTTCAAGCTATTTGATTTTGTTTTTTTAAAAAGCATGTAAGTTCCTTTATTTTAATGTGTCAATTTTGAAAATTGACAAAACCATGGTCTAGAATATTAATATTTACTGTGTAAAGTTAACAGGTTTTAACATTGTTCCTACTGTGTGAAGTCCAGTAGGGATGCCTCAAGAGGTTTGTTGTTGCTTAGCAATATGATGGCAGCTTGTAAACAATCAAGTCCAAACCAGACCAGACAAACCAGTGATTATATTATGAGTAAGTGAGTGAGTTGGGTCCAACGCCGCTTTTAACATTATTCCAGTTTTATCACGGCGTGTCAGCTTGATGTGGGAGGAAAGCCTGAAGTGATGCAGGTCTAAGACGTTTACCACTTTGGTGAAACCCACGAGCAAGGGTATGGTGCTGACAAACCTAGAAACATAATTGGGGGGAACCGGGATTTGAACCCAAAATCATAGGTTTCTGGCGTGTCCAGGGGACGCAACTGTGCAAAGAGAATCACGGCGCCTTAGACGACTGGGCCACCTGTGCCCCTGATTATATTAAGAGGAAAGTCCAATCAGGGTACCTTGACAAATAACAACTGTCACTGAGCCTGACCATCCGATCCATTTAGCACATCCTTCGGCCAGTATATCACTGGGAAATCCCAAAGAGGATAATAGGACTTCAGCTCTCAAAGTTTTACTGAAAATAAGTATTGGGAGGGAGTTGACAGTGGTACTGATGCTGTGACTGGATAATACTTACTGCAGTCTTTCCCCCTCACCGGGGCATTGGGAGCTCCCCCTGTACACTTGTTGTGTTCCGGCACGGACACCCTCCATCTCATTCCCTCACTGTCACACTCCGTGTACTCATAGTGGAAGTCTTTCTGTAGGACAAGCACAAACACTTCATCAGTAGGAACCAAACATAAACTGTATTCTTAGGAGAGAATAAAGGTACTGTGTTGTCTATGTAGATCAGGATTATCTTACATTTAATCACACCAAATTGAATTCAGTTCTCCATTGCTCATTGTGATGTAAAAGATAGATATCACAATCGGATACATAGCAAAGCGTCTAATCTCAAGATCTCTGTCGTACCCAAACTTTAAATAATATACACTCTTTAAGTTAAAAGTGATAATGTCTTCTGGCCAAAATGTTTTGCCCCTTATAGCAATGCATCAAATCTCATGTTCTTTGTTGTCTCTAAAACTTTAAATACACTCTTTATGTCAAATGCCATGTTTCTGCCCAAAATGTATTGCCACATACACTTGTAGCAGTATTCAAATAATATCAAGGTGACTGGTTACTAAGACAGCACCAGGCAAACCAGAGACTAAACATCAGAGACTAAACATCTTCTTAAACTACCTGTGAAGATTCCAGGGTAGAATAGGTCTTCAGCAACCCATGCTTGCCGTAAAAGGTGACTATGCGTGTCATAAAAGGCAACTAACGGGATCGGGTGGTCAGGCTCGCTGACTTGGTTAATGCATGTCATCGATCCCAATTGCGTGGATCAATGCTCATGATATTAATCACTGGATTGTCTGGTCCAGACTCAATTATTTACAGACCGCCGTCATATAGCTGGAATATTGCTGAGTGCGGCGTTAAACAACAAACCAACCAACCAACCAACCAACCAATCATCTTAAACAGTGACTAATTAGGTCAGAGCAGGGAAAGATGTATTGTTTTCAAATTGTGTTTCTATGTTTGGTCAAAAGGTATACACTTAATAGATTTCTGTTACACACTGCAAGATATCTTTAGCAAGTCTGATAAAAACTCTACCTGTATCTTTAACATGATCAAAGGTAACAGCATGATGTGTACTAGACTGGGCTTGTGCCACTGGCTTACTGAGATTCCACAGATTAACATGGATATCCCACTCAGACACAACCGGACCTCATTTAATCCCCTTAATACCAAGCACAAGACAGGGTAAAAAGTATCATCTTTTAACATTTTCGGCATGACATGGATCTAACAAGGTTTTCATGTCTAGGGGCAGATGCTCTCCCAACTACATCACGGAGAGTATCAAATGTATCACTACAACATATTTGCCAGGTTTTATTAACCAAGTCCCAAGTTCCCCCACCACACCAGCAGTCTGTTAATCATGATTCCAATGATGTTAATTTCCTGTCTGCATGGTGATAGAGGAAGTGCTTTCAATGGAGTTGTTTTCAGAGATATCCTAGGGGAAGTTCAGGTACTGGGAATTAAAACAGGTGGTCACACATGTTCTCAGGTCCATCCTGGCTTACATACACTGCACAAGGCTACGGAGAATTTCTTGAGCCACTGAGTACTTACTCCTATGTTATCATTCACATTGTGGTATTGATCATTTTTTTCTGGTATTCCGAGTATTTGTACTCCCTTGGATCCAGTCTGTGGAGTATTTTTAGACCAAACAGTAGACATTGTTCAAAACAAATTTCTGATTATAAATTATAATAGTTTCTCATTTCCATCTGTGAGTTTTCCATCTTATCTCACTCCAAGAGTGATTAAAGTTTTGCACCTGTTCTAGCAATATTCCTGCAATATCAGCGTTAGAAACTAACAGTTTTCGTCCACTTGTAATGATAACATATAGCAAAACCCTTAAAAATGGCAAATTTCTACTTGTCCTTAGGATACCTTTACCACTGGGCAGTTTGGCAAGGACTATAAGACTAGTGCCAATTTCTAACGCTGAATATCATAGCAGTTTCACACATTGCACCATGTGGGGAATCAAACCAGGGCCTTCAGCCTGACAAGTGAGGGTCAAAACCTCTAGGCTACTGCCCCATGAATTAATGTGCTCCCCCCAGTGTCACATGGTACATACTCAAAACACAGAAATATTAGTATGCAAGTTGAAAAGACTGAAAAATATCAAAATCCTCTCTCAGATAATTTTACTGCCTACAACATACTACATTTGGATTTCAAGGGGGGCGGGGGGGACCCTCTGGACCCCCCTCGGGATCCGCCTATGGGGTACATTACGCATAATGTTGTCATCTTACACTAATCTTTTCTGAACTTTAGCATGTGTATTTATATGCCAACTCAAACCTAAACATTTGTAACTATGGCAACTGGGTTATCAGTGTTAGAAACTAACAAGGTCAAGGGGTCCTTGTCATAACCCTTAACATAATAACCCCAAGATATAGGGGTCGTTGATTCAAATACCATACAAATCCAGGAGCCCCTTCATTTCAAACATTGGTAATGGTGATATTTTTCTCATATCTAATTTAACTTTAGAGCTAATGTGGAGCTCTGTCTGCATCTACATCACCAGCATTACTGATCATTAAAGGAGTAACAATACTGATACCTCCCCTGGGTCTCATAACATCCACTTGGTCTACACTTGTGGATATCAGTTTTATTACTTAGCTCCCAGCAGAGCATCTTAGTTAGTTACCATGGTTACAAAGAGTTGAAATTGAGATAAACAGTCATTACCACATCAATAATTGTCGTAATTAGTGGTGAATTATTGGCTTCAGAATAAAAGTTGAACTGAACAGTTACAATTCATATCATCATTAGTCTGCAAATCCATTTACTGGGAAAATCTAATAAATCAGTCTGTGCCTAAAAGTGTCTCTTGGCATCATTTTTAGTTGATTTTTAGTTAATCAATTAATTTTACAAGATTCAGGCTTCAGACTGGTGGCTAAAGTAACAGACAGACATAAGAAAAAAAACAGGCTGCGATTTCAGCCATTAATCTGAAGCCAGTTAACTTACATTTTGTTCGACAAGACTGGATGATACTGGACCATATACTACATGAATTTAGGCTTAATGGTCAGGTGAGGTGAAATGGGGTTTAACATTGCATTCAATGTTATTGCACTTATATAACAACGTGCGTGCGTGCGTGCTTGCGTGCGTGTCTGCATGCGTGTCTGCGTGAGTGCCTGTGTGTTAGTACGCTTGTGCTAGCCCACTGAGATACCATGCCGACACCGAGCCGCCCAGTCCTTGTCTCAGCCCCTTATGCAAAATGCCAGGCAGAGTAACAAAAAGTACCATCTTTCAACGTCTTTTGGTATGACGTGGCCGGGGTTTGAACTGCCGACCTTTCGCTCTCGGGGTAGACGCTCAACCACTAGACCACTGAGGTGGTCTACTAAGGCTTATAAAGAAGAAAGAGACATCAAGAACATGCAAGGTGCATACTTAGTTTCAGGTTCCTCATATGGCGGACGAGCTTGCAAAATATGATATGATTGCATTTCCTTAGAATTTTTTTTTCATCCTTATCATCATTTGCCGTTCGTTTCTTTACCCTGTTACTGCTGGGCCATCATGGCCATACTTTGCCAATGTGATGGAAATATGCCTCTGGAGATAACATTGACTGCTACTGTCGACATGAACCAATCACTGAGCTCGATATAAAATGTTTTTTCGAGTTTCCTGAGAGCGTTTCGCTGGCACTGCATTGTGCATAATTATTGCTTATACTGCATACAGGGAACAAAACAGCATAGGCCATCATGGCCCTTCCGTATTTTCAATGTGCACCATCTAAAAATTGAAAGTCCCAATGGTGTGGCCTAGAATGAAGCCTGACCATATTTATATATAGATTTTTACAGTCCCTTGAAATTATTAATGAACCAAGAGCTACATGCAATATTCAAGGCAAGTGTCAAGAGCACAAGCCACTGTTTAGCCAATAAGTCAACACATTGCAGCTTGCATGTTAAAACCAAGAACATTTACTATTTTTACCATGCTCTCACTCTTAGGTCATGCACAAGACACAAGACTTGATACCGAGACACTGACCAGATGCTACATTGCTCTTGTCTCTTGTCTAAGACGCACCTGTCGGAGCTCCAGCCATAAATGTCAGATTCCCAGTCTCAACACTACCAAAGCCATGCCTGTGTGTCCGGGATTTATCTAGGATTCCAAAGTAAGCGCCCTTGACTGTTACAGTGGAAACAAATCTTCAACATTGGGATTTGCTTTTTAGTTTTCAGTTTCCTAAATTCAAATGTATTTCAACATTGTATCATACGACTGCATTCAATGCAATAATGTAAAACTAAGCCGTGTTAGAAATTAAGGGGGATCTTGGGGTCATTGAGCATGTTGAGGTTTGTTCCTAGAGTATTTGAATCGAGGGATCTCTTAAACCTTTGATATTTAACTTTAGGGTTATGACAAAGACCCTTTACCATGTGTAGTTTCAGGCCTTTACCATGTGTAGTTTCAGGCCTCATTTGTACCACTGCTAAGCATTAATGTCTCTTTACTTGTCCTGATATTAGTGAAATACAAATCAGATCTGTGAGGCCATAACATAAGTTATAAAAATGATAACTATTATATACAGTAAGCATTGGGAAGCCATTTGTGAATTTGTACCAACATTTGTTACAGACTTGGTACCCAATATCAACCTCAGCAGGTCAAGAAAAATATTTATATTTTCACAAGTCCGCAAAACCGATCTGCCATGAAACTACCTAATGGTTAAAATTGTAGTACACAACGAAATGTCACCAGTCTCCAATTCATTAATGGATATCAAACCTGCGCCTGTATCTGGAACGGAACATAGCCAAGGTTACAACTGATAATGAATTCACAACGCCATACACCATGAACACATCATTACATTTTAACAAACACAAATCACAATGCAGAACATGGAAGACGTTGAAGCATCAGACATACTCACTGTATTACATTCGTCCAGACAACTAACCACACTAAATCCTACGATATGAAGAATCAACAGAAAGGGTAATGCTTCACCCATTGCTTCACCACTTGCCACGTGGACTACACCATGCCAAATACCAGCTCGTCGTTTAAGTCAGTATGATTTGTTAATTAT